AAAAAAAATTATTTCAGTATGATGGTTCAAGATCATCAATCGCCAAGACCTGCATAGATGACAGTTCTGTTGTTCACATGATCTACAGTTTTTGCGGCATAATCTACATAATTATTATGTAGATTCAGGTCCTCTGATGAATTCTGCCATGGCAATTATAAACAATCCGTGTCACTCCATTCACATCGCCAGCCTTACCTGCATTCTTTCCATCAGCAATGACTAGGGAGGGAGGATCTCTACCTTAACTTGAAGTCAACTGTACAGCAGCATTTCTCAAAGAGAATGAATGACACAACAAGAGGCGTGCACTACAAGCAGCACCTCCTTTCCCATCACCTCATGTTTCTTGTTTGTTTTTTTCCTTTTCACCTCACACACTATAACCTAAGAAAAGGGAGGAGCCACACATAGCCTTAGAGGAGCCCTATAAAATGCTAGGACTCTTGATTTAATGCCAGATGCAGGCTTGACAACTGATCTGTCTCATTTAGAGTTGAACTTAGTGCATTAAATTTGACTATTTAGTGAATGATCATAATATGGCAAATATTAGACAAAAATAAAAGTTAAAAAAATAAATTACTAAAAATAAACACTGATAAAAAGAAAGGGGGATATTGAATTGCTGAACCCCTCCACAATGCCAAATTTGCTGTTTTCACACTCCCCACAAACTCCTTTGCATGAACCCCATTACTCAAAATTTCCTTTGATTTAGTCTCTCTGTCTTGCTTCCTGGGAACTTTTCTTTGTCTGCCACTTAATTTAAATTACATAATAATGAGTACTAACTAAATCCAGTAAAATAACCATTGGTTAAGTAAACCTAAAGTGATCTTAATATGGACATCAGAAAGAGAGATTTTATTCATACTTACATGTTTAAAGCTTTAAATACTTGGGAAAGATGGAAATACAGTCATGTAGGTTAGCAGGCTTATAAATATAACATGTATTTATTTATTCATAATGGTAGCAGTGAAAGTGCAAAATAATGATTTCCTTCAGTTACAAACTTCAAGTCTACAATGTGTCTACTATGGTGGCCCATGGGTGTTACAATAACACCAAAAAGCTTACAGCAAAACCACTATTTTAATGACTTAAAACAACTAATTTCATTGATNTCTTACACTGAACACCTACCCTGTAATATTATTATTACAGGTGTTCAGTTACTACAGGTTATAGCAACCACTACTGACACTAAGAAACCGGGATAAGCTCCGGTAGCTATTAGCCATTCGGCTCCAAGGCGTCACTTCTTAAACTGACACTACACCATAGAAATTTGAAAACAGTGTTTTCACTCTGAAATGTATCATATGTTTTCCGTCCACACTGTAAAGCAAGAGAAATTTGAAAACTTGACAATCGCAAGTTAATCTGGATTTTCTGTCCACACTAATATAAAAAACAGCCTTTTCAAATTCATCTGGTTCAAGGAGCATTTTCGAAAAGCTCTGTTTTCAAGACGAATATTAGTGTGAAAGGTACGGTCTAACCGTAGAAATAAAGCTGCATTTTCAGATTTATCTGGCCTAGTGTGGACAGGGCCATAGAGCTGTCTGGATCACTATAATAAGAGAGTGCATGTAATATCTAAATTCATGAATGAATCTGTTTGCTGTTTGCACTTAACTCATAGAAAACCACTGCATCTTTTGAGTTAAAGAACTAAGACCTATACTTATCTATTTTTTTTAGTGACAAGGCAGTCACATTTATTACCATAATTAAAAAGAAACACCGGTTTATATAATTTAACCTCTCAAAGAATACCGGAGGCTAAGGCTTATGCAAATTAAACTGTCCTTGACTTAGCAATCGTTGCCACGTCGGTAGTTATGCTGTGACCTTTACAATTAAACAGAACACAAGAAAATATGACCACGTAGGAGGGAACAAGCCAATACAAGAGACACCAGAAAAGACAGAAAAAGTCGACAAGCTCATTGAGGGCCGATATAAGCTGAAGTCTTATTTACAAAACAAATATACATAACAACGATATATAAACATCCTCATGACACTATAATACAATCAGTAGCATTCGCCAAAAGGCGTTTCAGTTCACGTCAAACAGCAAAACACAAACATAAGTTTGCATACCCCATTAGCGGCCGCCATCCTCGCTATAATCTGAATGGCGTCTCGCATGAAGAACCTTCCATCGCCCCCAACAACAAGGGTACATCCTGTCCTCTTGGTCTCTGGGATTGAATCTAAAATACACTGCACAAAATTCTCCGTGTAGCGAGGCTGCCGAAACACCGTTACAGCTTTCCTCAGCCCTGAAGTGCCGGGTTTTTGCCCGTCAAATGGCGAGGTTTCTTGCAATGTAACAGCCACCATGTTTCTTGTTGTTTCGGCGAACTGCCGGTAACCGAGTCAGCGGTTTTTAACGTGTGCAAAAAAAAAAAAAAGATCACGCAAGCGCGTGATATTATCGCGTGATTGTTCCGCCTGATTGGCGCTATCGAGTCCATGCGCAGATCACGCGTTCTCACGCGTCACTTGCTTCCGTTCACAGAGAAGGTCAAGAAATCTTTTTTCTATTGATAATGCAGCGTTTCCGCCACATTTACATAGTTTGAAGTATATTACCTAGGTTCCTAAACGTTCCTAAAAGAATATACAAGTCAGGAAAGTTTTTCATTTACCTGTGGTCACCTCAGGAAAAAATTGTGTACCCTGCGAAAAGGGAAGTGGACGGAACCTCTGACAAACATGCGTGCCAGTTGGGACTGCTGGAGAGGAATAAGATGTCTGCCAGTACCATTTCCGAGTTGCTGTTACCTCTGTTTCAAAACAAGTCTTGGTGCACAACCTTTCATATATATGGAAATGAGATTTTTTTGCACGGTCATTGCCTTGCAAATCAAACTCATGTCCATATGAAAGGTTGGGCACCAGGACTCGTTTTGAAACAGAGGTAAAAAGCAACTCGGAAATGTCTTATTGGTCGTTTATAGCCCAGTAGCGAGAGTCGTAACGTGCCTCCCCAATAGGCCCCTATTCTAACATGGGCCTCGGAGCCATGTTAGAATGTTGATATATCGAACGTGGCCTATAGCCGGTGCACTGGGCTCTAACAAGACAAGAAGGTAACCCAGTAAAGCACACCACAATAATAAAGTCAACACATTTTTATTTCTGCCGAAGTCGGATTCGTGACACTTCATCTCTACAAGTCATTCACACGAAGTTCACTCAGCAGTTCCATATTAATTTAGTAGCAAGCTAACTGCAAGGCAACATTCTAAAACGTTGCAAAGATTATCAAAAACATAAACTCGACTATAGTAAACTATTTCTAGTGATTATATTTCCTCATGTCATGACTAGAGCAATTTTAAATTGCTATCTGGAATAACATTTAGCATTCACGTATTAACCAGGTTAGCTTATTACATACGGCTAATTGTATTCCCTGAACCAAGTGAAACGTTACAGAATCACAACAGTTTTCCGTGCCTACAATTTTCGTCAAAAGACCTCGAGGCAATAGAATCTTTCAGTTGTTGCTTCCATGAAACTGTTTACAAATCGAAACTACAAGGTTCAAAACTTAAAGAGGTAAAAATAACCCAAAAAGAAACGATGTTTACTTTTTAATTCGCTTAGCTCAGACGAACGTTAATTATTTTACTTCAGAAATTATCCATTTCTCTATAGGGTACACGTCGAGAAAAGCTATCTGCATAAAAATGCAAAAGTCTTGTCAAGCGTGTGTCAATTAAAGGTTAGTTCAAACGATTTTTTTTTCTCGTAAGCGAAGACACCCAAGGACTTAAATGACGAACATTGTAGCACAAACCAAATCACCTACAAAACTATCTCTACAGCATTACAACGAACTATGTTCTATACTAAACTGGTTAAATATGTACGGTTATATTTTTTTTATGGTGGGCATATACGTCACCTATAAGATGAAAAACAAAAACAACAAGAACAAAAACTGCTGGGAGTGTAAACTTGATGGGGTGTGAACCCCATGAACCGCTGTGGAACGCTGCAAAGGTCACGGTAATGGCACTGAAAATAAAATCACCTTCAGTTGCTGCATGAAAACACAACCAACTTTGCTACCAAATAACATTTTTTCAAAACAAAAACAGTATATAATGGGTTTTCAGGGGAAACGTGCAGAAAAGCAACCCGTAAAAGCTCAGAATCAATAACGAAATGGGAACCTAAGATTTCAATAAGGAACTGGAGAAGTACTAAGGGTGTAAAATTTGAAAAACCGTGAAACAAGTAATCAGGTCAAAGGATTTGTTCGCTGGAATCTCAAACATTTCTGTGGCAGAACTGAACGCGCGAATTGCGCAAATAACGCAGTTTGCGAGTGATTAAATGAGCATTCGTGAGAAATACAGAGTTAGTTTATAGATAATCAAACAGCAAGTGACTATTCAGTGACATTTCAACGTAACGATGCATTCGTTCTACACAACGGTTCATTTGGAAGCCAGCTTATTGCTTGGTACGCCAAATGGTGACGCTTGAGTGACACATGTCAGATTTGCGCAGTCCCTCGCGCTTGCTTGAAACAAGGCGTTGTTCCAGGAGAGTAAACCTACAAAAAGAGAGTAAAAGGGTAAATTAAGTCCATCTTTTTTAGTGTTACATACATCCCCTATGCAATACAAAGAGAGAAAAATGAAAGTTTAGTAAAAAGTACCCACCATTTTCACTGCTCACTTTGTTTTTAAACTCAAATAAAATTAAATAAAGTAAATAAATAGTAATTTCAATCTGAGGAACTTAATTCGAAAGAGAATGACATGGTTCATTGCGGTATTTGAGCTTAACGACTTCAATTTCGAGATTTTACGACAAATTTACAACCCGCTGCGTCGCAAATCTGTCAAAGCTGTAAAATATTATCGCCAGGTTCTCCATGTATGACGTAAAAATTCTTAATTCTTTATTCTTTAATTTAGTTATACTTCACCAGCGACGGAGACGTAGTCGGAGTCGTAATCAGAAGCGTGGAGCGATACGATCTAGTGAAAATCAAACCGACGGAGTCGGAAGCAGAAAACCGATTCTGCTTATGACCTCGTCACTTCTGATTCTTCCGACTTCGATTCCGGCGCGCTTATGACTCCGCTTACGATTTCGATTTTCGATTTTCACTGGGTCATAAGCGCTCTTACGAATACGACTGCAAGTATGTCGCTAATGAAAACCAGTCTTAAGGAAACCAACAAGAAAAAAATAGCGAAACAAGAACATCAAGATCAAGAGTATCCTCACTTGTTTCCTAGAACAGCTCTCAACGACTCTAGGTCCCAGTCCACGTTGGTTTTGATGACCACAAGGCCCCTGGTGTTGATGATCTCCCACAGACGAATCAACCAAGCTATACACAGAGAAGAAACAGAGATCAATCACAAACCGAGAGAAATTCAGCCCAGTTTTAACATTACTCCACCCCAAAATTTCACGTTCAAAAAGGGATATAAATCCCCAAATACTGATTGCTCCTACACTTAGTTTTAGGGTGATGTAGCAGGTCTCGTAAGGTCCACATGAATGGCTTGCTACCCTTTGAAAGGACAATAGAACAAACAACACGAGCAATGCTCCCTAGCCCTAAAACAATAACAGCTGCTAAAAATGAAGAGAATTACAAGCTTACGAGAGCTGTTACACTACTGTAGTTTTAGCGTACATCATATTTTTAAAAAATCTTTAGGCTCTCAGGGGGACAAAAAATAGTTTTCACCCCCCCCCCCTTTATAGTCCAATCTCTGTTTAATGTTGTTCAAGAGAGTTGCCCATTCATTCTGCTTTTTGTGCCAAAAGAAACATGCCCAGTCATACGTCTGAACTTACAATTTCATATAACTAGCTGCTCTAAAAAAACCACACAACATTGAAATGGGGTAGGAGGAGGGTGATTAAAAATCTTCTAGCAGTTTCAAAATTTAGAAACTGTGTAACACTTAGTTTTCTCCAAGATTGTCGATGAAAATATTCATTTCCAACGTTACTAATACTCGGTCCAATAGCCGGTCGCTTGGCAACATCACGCTAGAATGCGTTACCTTTTGGATTGGACAGGCGGTGAAGGCAAGACATGACAATCAGGTCATACACCCCGATCTCATTTGGCAACCAGGTAAACTGAAAACAAAACACAAAAGTCTTAAAATAAAAGCTAAAAAAAGAAAATAAAACAAATAAAACTAAAATTGAAAGAAAAACAGCTCAACTTGCAATACGCTAAGTTAGAATCTCCCAAATCAAAGTATGTGACCATTTATATTTCAAATGAAAGCTATTGAGCAGTATTTTCATGTGGTACTGTTTATTACGCTGTACAAAGTGGTTCTAAATTTCAAGTTTGTGGACAGAACCCTAGTGTGTGCCCATTCAAATGAAAGCTATTGAGCAGTACTTTAGTCATATGGTACTATTTATTACGCTGTACAAAGTGGTTCAAACTTTCACGTTTGTGGACAAAACCCTAGTGTGTGACCATTCAAATGGAAGCTATTGAGCAGCACTTTCACGTGGCACTGTTTATTTCGCTGTAGAAGTTGGTTCGTGTGTTTCGCTAATGGAACTGATTCCTGATTTCAGGGAAGTCTTACCTGTTGGAACTGCACTCGATCAATGTTTGCTTCAATTTCGCTCAGCGGAATACTGATGAAAGGCGAGTCTTTGGCACAGTTCATCTCCAGTGACGACCCCTGTTGCAACTTGAGAGCTGCATCAAGCAATCGGCCGCTATGGTCAATGGCAATCACCTAAAAAAAAATCACATATTTCATTTAAAAAGCGGGCTGTACTGAAGGGTTTCCTGTGTCAAAGACGCATTAAATTCCTGAAGTCAGTCAGAAAGACTCGAGTTACGCAACGACACGGTTTAAAGGAATTATTTTCAGCTGTCCTTTAGTTTTAAGTCAAAGAATGTAAACGGTGGCTGAAAAAAGTGAGAAGCCCTTTCACAAAACACGGAAGAACCATAATTCGCCGCCACTACGTGTATGTGAATTATAGCGCTCAGAGCTTTCTAAAATTAGAATATGTTTTCTTTTCCTACTTCACAGTGCAAAGTCTATCTGAACTCTTGTAGTATCGGCAACCTTTTGCAAACTTTCAAAGAAAACGCCGGAATCGGTGCTCAACTTTATGATCCACTTTTCTCCTTTGCTGTTGTTAGCCATCTTCAATTCCTGATTGCTTTCTGTTATTTGTCAAGAATTGTCTTACAAAATCAAACCGTTGTTGCTGCGCTTCAGTTTAGGAGCCTCTATAACTCGAGCTTAACTCAGTGACAGTGGAACTATATAAGCGTGTGCCGTACTGTACGGTACCTCTTCCAAGAACTTGCTGAGTTCGAAGGAAAAGCGTCCCAAAGAACACATAACGTCCAAGGCCTTCTTCACCGGGCAGTCAAACTTCTGCACGGCCTCTTGACACATCTGTGCAAACTGTTTACAGTCATCGGCGTTGCTCTCCACTCCCTGAAAACAAAGTCACACCAAAATTTGAAGGAGCCACTTCCAAGAAGAATAAACAATGTTCAGGAATCAAGTTTCATTTTTTTATTCCTGACCTATAAATCCATGCAACAAAATATAGATTAAACAGAGAATTGGAAATGTGGAGGTTTCTGAACAGGACGAAAACCTACTGAATTAAAAAGCGTTAACACACCCTATATTATTACANTACAGTCAATGAATGTCAAATGAAGGTATTGTTTTCCTTTTGATGATTTTGAATGTTAATGCATATGTAAATGTTTTTCTTGAACGTTCCTTACGCGCAAATGAAGGCCATATTGGTGTTAATGAGAGTTTAATGACCATAATGAAAGAAATTTGGACACAAATGAATGTTTGTTTTCTGTAAATGAACAGCAAAAGGTGTACATTAAAAAGGTGTTATTTAAATTCGGATTTAACTAGCGAAAATATATACACAGAACTTACTTTCGCGGGAATTAAGATGTTATATAAACTAAAAGCATAAATGTACTCATTTGAGGCTGTCAAGTACTACATCTGCAGCAGATCCTCTTGTAAGTCGTTTGTATTCTGTATCATTCAGCCACTTTGGGTCTTGATCTTCAAGGCAGTTTTGTCACGCAATTTTGTCGTTCCTTCACCACAAGTCACGCTATGTAGTCGACTTAAACACTGTAGGTCACATGACTTGGTTGCTTCAGTCATTCCATTCATTGCATAGCGTATGTGAACTAGGCAAAGTCAATCCCACATCTGAGCACTTTATACATTTGCAATTAAAACTCACCAAAAGATCTCCGTAGTGCGACAAAACTTCACTGTACAGAAACTCCTCCGCATCGTCGTGGTATTGGTAGTTTGTCGTGCTAACATAAACACTGTTGTCATCAACTCCAGGCAGAGTGGGAGGGTTATCTGTAACAAAATACAACAATTAAACAAAAGAACAAACGCACGATCGAATGAACGAACGAACGACCAGCTTAACAAACGAACGAACCCCAGCCCCCTGAACTGTAGTAAAACTGAAAGGAAAAAAATTGCACCAATGTAGGAACTTGCCTTCAACGCCAACTCCCAGCACAAAAACAGGAGTTTCTACCAAACGCACTGGGAGCCTGTCCACAACCGACTGGGCAATCCTGAAACCAAGATGCTGAAAGAAATGGCGGCGGAAAGCAAAGCGGGCAAATCGTGATGCCTCGTCACCAGTTGACACCCAGCTGCCACCCTAATAAAGAAACAAACGGACGCGATCCCATTTAGAGCCGTTTTCACTTGAACATCGAAATTAATTCACAACTGGTTTGGTTTTACATTACTAAGTTACACGATTGGCTTAAAAAAACCCGCGCCACTTTGTCATCCAATCGGAAGTACATGTAAAACCAAAACCAATCGCCACTCGCTCGCACACGTTTTCCCGCGCATTGCGTCAGCTACGTGTGTTTCCTTGGCGTTTTGATTAGTTGAACGAATTGTCTCTGTCCTGTGTGATTGGGCAAGGCGAATTACGTTAAGAAGATCACATACCATGATCATGTTGTGTCGTCCATCAAAGCAAGGCGTGGAGAAGTCATCATACAGCAAATGAGCCTTGAAGTCACCAAGCCCATTGAAGTGATCCTCGATCCATTCCCACACATTTCCAAAGACGTCACAAAAACCAGCTTCGGAGGCTGGGTACAAGTTAACAGGCTGAAAATCAAGCAGGTAGTAACACAAGGTTGAAAAATAAATTCTTTGGTGACGTGAAAAAACTAACGGCGGTCTGTCTACAATTACCACAGCATGAGGTCAACTTGTTCCTCAAAAAGACACACTCTCTCGGTTATTTTGCTGCTTTTCTGGCAACAAAAAAGCGCTGAAGTTATACATGTACCCATTGTAAGTACCTGTTCTCGTACAAGAAAATGTTGAAGGAGTTGTTGACGGGGGAACAAAAGGAGGATAAAGTGCAATTTTAGCGATTTTTTTCAAGACAAGACAACAGTATTCGAAAAAGGCCAGACTTCTTCGATTTGACATCACAGCCCACATGCACATGAAGTTGGAAAAACACAACCTCCCCCCTTCAAAAAAAATGATGGTCCGTCCCTTAGTTAGTGACTTTTAATAAAACTAGACAATTATATTAGGCATCCATCAATGAACACAGTCATGGTTTTTGAGTGTTGACTTTTCAATAGTGCATGCCCCTTTCAAGACTCTACAAGATCGGTACAATAAATCACTCCTATTAAAAGTAAACTTACAGTGGATGAACCATAAGCCATGTTGATGTTTGCTTCAATCTTATCCTGGTAAATGATGTCACAAACCGTACCTTCTGAAGGGGATTTCTGTAAAAAGAGAACGTGACAAGTTACCACACTTATGACAAAGACGCTGGAACTCTAAAAAAATGATTCACCAAAACAAGTAGTTCTTCTAAAAAAAGGCTTGGCACCTCCTACATTTCATGTGTTCAGGGGTTTAATTCAAATTTCCCAACAAGCATTCCCAACCTTTTCATATGACCCCCCCCCCGGGGGAGGGGGGACAAATTTTGAACTCTATCACTTGTGCCAAGCACTGACTCACCTGTGGTCCACGCATGACATGATGTTCAGCCTCAGTCGGCAGGCGATAGTCCGAGCCCTTCCAGGCACAGAACGCTTTAGCCTCATGATAGTTCACTTCTGCAGGCCAGTCCATGGGCATCTCCACCACATCAAACATGGCACGGAACCTGTTTGAGTAAAAAAACATGCTTATTTGGCATAAACAATGACAGCACTACATCTTCCAACAATAAAGCCTCTTAAGTGTTTTATTTTTCATTATTGTAATTAAAAGGAGGTCACTCCAAAAAGCTTACTCTTTTTGTCTTCGCCTATAGCAAGTAAACATTCAGCTTTTCCACTCACCAAAGTTTCAGCCGCTGAAATGCCTGCTATCCTGAAGAAATTCGTTTCGAAAGAAGCGACTTTAGAGGCCGCCGTTTTTAAACTGTCTTGGCAGTCAGGTCGTGTTTATGTGACGTCGTTCCATCGGACTCAAAATTGGCGGGAAGGAGAAAAAACCTACAACTGACTTGGCATCCTTCACAAGGTCAGCAAAATCTATTTTTTCCCAGCGATTATCCACTTCACTATTTTCAATGCTATCATTTCAGAGTTTGGAGCATGTTTGGCTCAAAATAATATGGCTCAAGAACAGCCATAACCCAGAGTGGTAGTTAAAAGGCTTGTCGGAAGCCACTCTTGGACGGAATGATGTTAGGAAAACGCAGCCTGCCTGATGAGTAGTGTTCAAAATGGCAACAACAGTGCTCGAATTTTGGGCTACTTTCGAGACCAATTTCATAAGGAAAACGTGCACTTTAGAGGCCGAAACTTCGGTGAGTGGCTAAACTTAGTGAAAGGTTTTTTATAAAAAAAATATACGTCTTTTGGAATGACCTTCCACTCTAACGTAAACTATGTTTAGAGATTTTCACTCCACAATGCAGCAAGGAGTACACATTTGACTTTTTGTCAGTTATAATTATAATTATTTGCCCCTAAAATTTTATCTAATTCAGCTCTAGGTGTAATTTGAAGGCTCCAATAAACTATCTATCAATGTATCCAGCTTGCAACCAGGATATATTTTGTTGTTTTTTGTAAACCTGGGACAATTTATTCAAGCTGTTGCAAAAAACTAGACTCTCAGTAACGTCTTCAAATTTGTTTGGGGACCTATAATTGCCCCCACCTAAAGGCTTGGAAAATTATCAGAAGTTTGCCAAAATGGGCGTGAAATTATTTCCTAATTTCACTCGTCACCATTTTGATTACCCATCCAAATACATGTAGCTGCAAAAAAAAAAACACTGATCGCCTTTTTAAGTACGGTATTTTTTGTCTGTTCGTTATACAAACCATACTTACTTGTAAGGGCAAGATTTCACCTCCGAGTGACCATTTGCCGAGACACTGTTAGTCAATCCATTTTGGTGGTTGCCATTTATGACGCCATTGATCTCGCCATTGTGATGGCCATTCAGGCTGCTATGTTCTTGAAAGCCGTTGTGATTGACATCGGCTGCTTGGTTACAGTGAGAGTAAGTTGCCAAGTCACCACCACAGCCAGACTTGCAGTGGTTTCCACAAATCCAGAAGCTTGGATGATGTAACTGGCGGAACTGTTTCCATTGCCAACCTGAAATACGTTGTATAAATGAACACAGCAGTTGAATAGCGGAGTTATGCAAACCAAAACGTAGAGAACAAACACTCAAAAGTAACTTGCTATGCTACTGCAATTTGCGATTTTCAGGTCAAAAGACAAAACACTCATCTCACAAAAAACTAAATAAAAACTGCACATGAATTTAGGCATGACAGTTTGATCTTCTCGCAAGATTCTAACAGCCTATTGTAAACCTTGGCAACAATGAGAAAGGCAATTGATTGCGTTTTCCTCAGTCCTTGTATGAAGTTACCCTCAGATTGCAAGGTGATCATACAACACTGACAAGTTGAACTTGCTTCTTGAAACCTTCTTTTATTTTAACTTTGAAAACTTCATTATCAAATTTTGGCTTCCCAAATGTTTCAAAATACAGTTTAAAGGGACCAAACTTTGTATCATGTACCTTCCTTTGTCCAATACTTGGAATTTTCGTAGCCTCTGTCATCAACAAACTCCAAGTATTCACGGTTGGTAATCAAATACTTAGAAGCTTTGAAAGGCGGAACCCTAAGAAAAAAATTGAAAAGACAAAAAGGTGTCAATCTCAGTTTTCTGTCTTTAATTTGGTGGACAAGAAAAAAAAAAACAAGAACAGATTAATTTACTTTACCAATTAACTAGAAATTAAAGTAATGAAGATATTTTGAAAGCTTTTTCCAAAAATATGTGACTTATTGCCCAGTATCTTTAACTTTCACACAAATAATATTTTCACTAATCCAGCATGTCTGACAAATAATCTGATTTAAAAGGAACATCTTATTGTAGCAGTTACAATCCAACAAATCTACGGCATATTGTGTATAACTTTGGGCATACCTAACCTCTTAATAACTAATAAACAATTAATTATGATATTAATTATGATTAAACAGTTATTTATAATAATTATAACTTTAATAATTATAATCAAAACTTTTGATATAATTGTAAATAAACAAATTCATAGCTTCATCGACTGAAGTACACATAATAACTTAAGTTAGCAGAACTTTGTATCAATGATAGACTTAGAACTGTACATTATTTATTCAGATAAATTGTTTCAATATTTGTGTAATGTCAGTAATCCCTGACTTCAGCTTTGATAAATGACTGAACAAATAAGGTACATTTCTTCATAGCAGAGAATCGGGTTACATTAGACAAAACATTAAAACAATTACAAATTAGTAAATAACCATACAATGATGCACATGTACTACACAGTAGAAAATTTGACATGAAAAGACAGCAAAAAAAAATTAAACCTTAAAAACAGTTGTCAGTAGTAAAAAATATTGAATCAGCTAAAAATCACTATACAATTAAACAATCATTTGACAGCTAAACACATAATTTGAAATGCGGCCATTAAATTACATTCAGATGTATTGCTACATTCTAATAATTATTAGGAAATTTTTTTAATATACAGTACTGTGCTTGTAATTATAAACAAATGCTAGTAATCTTAATGCTAGTAGTTTTCATGACCAATCTCATTACTTATCTTACGGTAAATAACCTGTTAGTCCGTTATTTTCATATTGGAACTCTTTAATTTGTCATTTTGGAACAGAGATAATATAAAATGTTTGTAGACGATTGTACTTTGCATAGCAATTGTACTGGTAAATAACATTGTTACTTATTAAGAGACTTGAGTGACACATTATTAGTAATTAAAAACAATTGTTTTTTGTGAGTGAATGTGATTAGCAATTTAACTAATGGAGACTTGCAAGAAAGGGAAGTAATAGGCCCTTTGCAGCTGGGGTCACGTGACCAAATTTTAATTAGGAGATTTTTATATTATGAGCTGTAACTTAAAGAATGGCAGAAATGGAAAGAGCACATTGAAAATACCAAAATGCCCAAGTTCGAGGCCCCTGGAATTAAAGAGTAAGTTTATACGACAGTTTGAATTTTCAGACAATTTAGAGGATTTGTATGGAAAATGTTGCTGGAGAGCAAGGCCTTGCTCTCCAGCAACTTTTTCCATACAAATCTTCTTAATTTTTAAAAATTCAGACCGNGTTCTCATGCAAATTGTGTTATTGAAAGTCTTTTGTTGAAAACTGAATGTCGTAAAGTGTAAATGATTGTCGTTTCGTGACAACGAATTTTTTTTCCACCAAAATGAAAATACATTTACAGTCAATGAATGTCAAATGAAGGTATTGTTTTCCTTTTGATGATTTTGAATGTTAATGCATATGTAAATGTTTTTCTTGAACGTTCCTTACGCGCAAATGAAGGCCATATTGGTGTTAATGAGAGTTTAATGACCATAATGAAAGAAATTTGGACACAAATGAATGTTTGTTTTCTGTAAATGAACAGCAAAAGGTGTACATTAAAAAGGTGTTATTTAAATTCGGATTTAACTAGCGAAAATATATACACAGAACTTACTTTCGCGGGAATTAAGATGTTATATAAACTAAAAGCATAAATGTACTCATTTGAGGCTGTCAAGTACTACATCTGCAGCAGATCCTCTTGTAAGTCGTTTGTATTCTGTATCATTCAGCCACTTTGGGTCTTGATCTTCAAGGCAGTTTTGTCACGCAATTTTGTCGTTCCTTCACCACAAGTCACGCTATGTAGTCGACTTAAACACTGTAGGTCACATGACTTGGTTGCTTCAGTCATTCCATTCATTGCATAGCGTATGTGAACTAGGCAAAGTCAATCCCACATCTGAGCACTTTATACATTTGCAATTAAAACTCACCAAAAGATCTCCGTAGTGCGACAAAACTTCACTGTACAGAAACTCCTCCGCATCGTCGTGGTATTGGTAGTTTGTCGTGCTAACATAAACACTGTTGTCATCAACTCCAGGCAGAGTGGGAGGGTTATCTGTAACAAAATACAACAATTAAACAAAAGAACAAACGCACGATCGAATGAACGAATGAACGACCAGCTTAACAAACGAACGAACCCCAGCCCCCTGAACTTTAGTAAAACTGAAAGGAAAAAAATTGCACTAATGTAGGAACTTGCCTTCAACGCCAACTCCCAGCACAAAAACAGGAGTTTCTACCAAACGCACTGGGAGCCTGTCCACAACCGACTGGGCAATCCTGAAACCAAGATGCTGAAAGAAATGGCGGCGGAAAGCAAAGCGGGCAAATCGTGATGCCTCGTCACCAGTTGACACCCAGCTGCCACCCTAATAAAGAAACAAACGGACGCGATCCCATTTAGAGCCGTTTTCACTTGAACATCGAAATTAATTCACAACTGGTTTGGTTTTACATTACTAAGTTACACGATTGGCTTAAAAAAACCCGCGCCACTTTGTCATCCAATCGGAAGTACATGTAAAACCAAAACCAATCGCCACTCGCTCGCACACGTTTTCCCGCGCATTGCGTCAGCTACGTGTGTTTCCTTGGCGTTTTGATTAGTTGAACGAATTGTCTCTGTCCTGTGTGATTGGGCAAGGCGAATTACGTTAAGAAGATCACATACCATGATCATGTTGTGTCGTCCATCAAAGCAAGGCGTGGAGAAGTCATCATACAGCAAATGAGCCTTGAAGTCACCAAGCCCATTGAAGTGATCCTCGATCCATTCCCACACATTTCCAAAGACGTCACAAAAACCAGCTTCGGAGGCTGGGTACAAGTTAACAGGCTGAAAATCAAGCAGGTAGTAACACAAGGTTGAAAAATAAATTCTTTGGTGACGTGAAAAAACTAACGGCGGTCTGTCTACAATTACCACAGCATGAGGTCAACTTGTTCCTCAAAAAGACACACTCTCTCGGTTATTTTGCTGCTTTTCTGGCAACAAAAAAGCGCTGAAGTTATACATGTACCCATTGTAAGTACCTGTTCTCGTACAAGAAAATGTTGAAGGAGTTGTTGACGGGGGAACAAAAGGAGGATAAAGTGCAATTTTAGCGATTTTTTTCAAGACAAGACAACAGTATTCGAAAAAGGCCAGACTTCTTCGATTTGACATCACAGCCCACATGCACATGAAGTTGGAAAAACACAACCTCCCCCCTTCAAAAAAAATGATGGTCCGTCCCTTAGTTAGTGACTTTTAATAAAACTAGACAATTATATTAGGCATCCATCAATGAACACAGTCATGGTTTTTGAGTGTTGACTTTTCAATAGTGCATGCCCCTTTCAAGACTCTACAAGATCGGTACAATAAATCACTCCTATTAAAAGTAAACTTACAGTGGATGAACCATAAGCCATGTTGATGTTTGCTTCAATCTTATCCTGGTAAATGATGTCACAAACCGTACCTTCTGAAGGGGATTTCTGTAAAAAGAGAACGTGACAAGTTACCACACTTATGACAAAGACGCTGGAACTCTAAAAAAATGATTCACCAAAACAAGTAGTTCTTCTAAAAAAAGGCTTGGCACCTCCTACATTTCATGTGTTCAGGGGTTTAATTCAAATTTCCCAACAAGCATTCCCAACCTTTTCATATGACCCCCCCCCCTAAACACTCATCTCACAAAAAACTAAATAAAAACTGCACATGAATTTAGGCATGACAGTTTGATCTTCTCGCAAGATTCTAACAGCCTATTGTAAACCTTGGCAACAATGAGAAAGGCAATTGATTGCGTTTTCCTCAGTCCTTGTATGAAGTTACCCTCAGATTGCAAGGTGATCATACAACACTGACAAGTTGAACTTGCTTCTTGAAACCCTCTTTTATTTTAACTTTGAAAACTTCATTATCAAATTTTGGCTTCCCAAATGTTTCAAAATACAGTTTAAAGGGACCAAACTTTGTATCATGTACCTTCCTTTGTCCAATACTTGGAATTTTCGTAGCCTCTGTCATCAACAAACTCCAAGTATTCACGGTTGGTAATCAAATACTTAGAAGCTTTGAAAGGCGGAACCCTAAGAAAAAAATTGAAAAGACAAAAAGGTGTCAATCTCAGTTTTCTGTCTTTAATTTGGTGGACAAGAAAAAAAAAAACAAGAACAGATTAATTTACTTTACCAATTAACTAGAAATTAAAGTAATGAAGATATTTTGAAAGCTTTTTCCAAAAATATGTGACTTATTGCCCAGTATCTTTAACTTTCACACAAATAATATTTTCACTAATCCAGCATGTCTGACAAATAATCTGATTTAAAAGGAACATCTTATTGTAGCAGTTACAATCCAACAAATCTACGGCATATTGTGTATAACTTTGGGCATACCTAACCTCTTAATAACTAATAAACAATTAATTATGATATTAATTATGATTAAACAGTTATTTATAATAATTATAACTTTAATAATTATAATCAAAACTTTTGATATAATTGTAAATAAACAAATTCATAGCTTCATCGACTGAAGTACACATAATAACTTAAGTTAGCAGAACTTTGTATCAATGATAGACTTAGAACTGTACATTATTTATTCAGATAAATTGTTTCAATATTTGTGTAATGTCAGTAATCCCTGACTTCAGCTTTGATAAATGACTGAACAAATAAGGTACATTTCTTCATAGCAGAGAATCGGGTTACATTAGACAAAACATTAAAACAATTACAAATTAGTAAATAACCATACAATGATGCACATGTACTACACAGTAGAAAATTTGACATGAAAAGACAGCAAAAAAAAATTAAACCTTAAAAACAGTTGTCAGTAGTAAAAAATATTGAATCAGCTAAAAATCACTATACAATTAAACAATCATTTGACAGCTAAACACATAATTTGAAATGCGGCCATTAAATTACATTCAGATGTATTGCTACATTCTAATAATTATTAGGAAATTTTTTTAATATACAGTACTGTGCTTGTAATTATAAACAAATGCTAGTAATCTTAATGCTAGTAGTTTTCATGACCAATCTCATTACTTATCTTACGGTAAATAACCTGTTAGTCCGTTATTTTCATATTGGAACTCTTTAATTTGTCATTTTGGAACAGAGATAATATAAAATGTTTGTAGACGATTGTACTTTGCATAGCAATTGTACTGGTAAATAACATTGTTACTTATTAAGAGACTTGAGTGACACATTATTAGTAATTAAAAACAATTGTTTTTTGTGAGTGAATGTGATTAGCAATTTAACTAATGGAGACTTGCAAGAAAGGGAAGTAATAGGCCCTTTGCAGCTGGGGTCACGTGACCAAATTTTAATTAGGAGATTTTTATATTATGAGCTGTAACTTAAAGAATGGCAGAAATGGAAAGAGCACATTGAAAATACCAAAATGCCCAAGTTCGAGGCCCCTGGAATTAAAGAGTAAGTTTATACGACAGTTTGAATTTTCAGACAATTTAGAGGATTTGTATGGAAAATGTTGCTGGAGAGCAAGGCCTTGCTCTCCAACAATTTTTTCCATACAAATCTTCTTATTCTTTTAAAAATTCAGACCGTCATAAAATCTCATTCTTTAATGATGGGGGTCTCAAACTTGGCCATTTTGATATTTTTGACATGCTTTTTCCATTTCTGGTATTCGTTAAGTTATAGCCCATAATTTTATGAAAAATAGGTCACGTGATGGCTTAGCTGCAAAGGGCCTATATAAACTGTTAGTAGTTAATTTACTAAAAATAAAATTAGTTGCTAATTAAGACTACAAGAGTCAATTAACTTCATGTATGTGCAGTCAATACTTTGTTAGCAGTCTGTTCATGTATGGCGTTAAAATGGTCAGTAGTTAACAACAATGACAAAAAACAAACCAACCAACCAAACAAACAGTGTAAAATAAACAACAACAACAACAACAACAACAAGATGAACACAAAACAAAATATTTCAGTACTGATTTTGTAGAAGAGAATACACAAGTTGAACAAAAAGTACAAACATGACATTGTCTACAGATCAGTGTGAGCTACCGAAAAAATTAATAGAGTTTTATTTGCCATCTTGGGTTGAAATTTATTTATTGTAAACATCTCAGATTTTGCCTGTATAAAAAGGCAGTCTGAGGTGAAAGACAGTTGCAATGATCGGCAGTGAAAAGTACTATGTCTGACGACATTTCTAATTCTGATCACGGACTATTGTGTACCGTTTTCACACCCAACTCACTTGACATTCCACTTGCCATATTCGTTGTCCCAGCCGTACGATGGAAAGTTTTCTGGTTTCCCCATGCTCACAGCCCGCTCCGTTCTTATTTCAATCAGAGGATTGGACAACACCGGATCTCCTGATAGTTGGCATCATATGTTACAAAAATGCTACTTTGGTGTAACTAAACACTCGGTGCGGAAATCCCTCGGGAAATGTAGAATGAGGACCATTGGTGGAAGAAACTCGGGTGTAAATGTAAATCATTTCCTGCCGGAGGCCTTATTCTTGCCAGGTTTTAGTGAGGTATGGAAAGTGAAAATGGACTAGGAAAAAGGGAATCTAAAGCAAGGGTTGCCCTAAAGGGATTCTTAGCTAAAAAAAGGGAGTTTCCGTTAAAGGTCCCAAATGAGGTTGAGGTGATTCTGGTAAAATGTTGATCTCATATCCCCTTCCCTCCTTTGGAAAACTGTGCTATGCAGCCCAAAAAACTCACAAGTGAAAGGATCAGTTTTGGAAACAACATTACAACTTAGCATTCTTGTGATCAAAATTGCAATATTATGTTCTACTTTCCTTTCAAAATTAAACATAGTGGAACAGAAACTTAAAGTCACCCGAAACCAATCATGAACTGAACGTTTTTTTTTTCTTTTGACCAAAGCCAGGCATAATCATAATGGAAAATATGGGATAATAACCACTTCAACTCTTCCGAGAATTAACTCTTATAGCACAGTTTTCCTTCCAGAAAGTTGGTTCTCCTCCCTCCCCATCCATATCTCTCTCAACACCCACCCAACCCCCTCCCCCACCACCCCTCTAACCGTTCCTTTCTCTTTCTTTCCATTCTTCAGTTTATTTTTTCTCTCATCACATCAATCCACTCACACACTGTTCACATTCCACCTCCTACCACATGCACCAGTGTGTTCCACCCTAGGCTCAAAAACCTGGCAAGAATGGCAGAATTTGAATCGTAAATCAGTGGTTAAAAAATCCATTTTCCAAACAAGGAAAAACTCTTTGCGAAAGTCAATTTTATACACAGTCTGTTTGAAATCAAGCAGTTACTGAAGAACATTGCTCACATCCGAATGTGATGTACATTATTTTGTAAAACTGTCAAACAAATGGCCAGCGCATCTTGTTTTCAGAACAGTGTATGCAGTGATAAATTCGTTGATAGTATCATTTAGTAATGTGCACAAAATTAAATCATTCCTTCAAAATTGCCAATGTATCATTTCTTTTATTAATAACTTTCTTCAAAATAGGAAAATTTAAGAAGCTCAAGCAAATGTCAATTACGTAATTCAAGGAGTTGTGACCGGACTTTGTTCAAGGTTGTTGTTTTAATTTGTTTTTTTCTGATCTCTCCAAAACATTTTTCCGGCAAAATCTGCATAATGTGCATGCATACTATGGAAATTGAACATTTCTCTCAATAATATCATAACATCATCCTTATCAAGGCTGATTTTGTCAAGAAGAATTTTCACTGTGCAATTCCGATCAAAGTTATTTTCAGGAGGAAGCTACATCAGGGAGACAAAAATTCTCAACTGGTGTATTTTACATATTAATTGAAAGAGAAAAAAAATGAATATGTTCTTATGTAGCTTGTGAAGAGCGAGATATTGTTTTCAACATCATTAGATGATTACGATCTGAGTTTAGCTTTTTTTATGTACATATTGATAACAACACGCAATGGATTGCTTTATGCACAAAGATTATTTGGTTCCGTTCACTGAGGAATATTATTTGTCTTATCACAGCCATATCGAAAGGCAAGGAACACCAATCAGAGCTGATCCGAAGATAAGAACCTTTTCCAAGGCTTCCTGTGAGACCATGGGACAGTTTCCAGGAGTACAGAGGCCAGGCCCATTTTCATGGGGACCAGAGAAGCTTAAGGACCCATAGGGGCAGTTATCAAAGGGGCCCTTACCTTGCCCCCTACTTTAGATCATTACAATCAAGAAAATCTAAATTACCATGAACAGCGCAAACCCAGTATAACAATCCTTTTTTTTTCCATATCAATCATAATATTACAAGTACTTTCATGGCCATTTCAAGGCTCCAGAATGAAAGAATAGCATTTTCATTTTCATTTTTTGATGACTGCAGATAACCACAGACCTGACGTGCACTTCTCCAAAACAGTAAAATGGCACCAATTCCAATAAAGATTTTTGGTACTTGTAATGGCATAGCGAATTGTTATGTTGGGATCGCATCTTAAAAACCCTTACAGATAAATTATTTTGCAACATTGACTGCTTACAATCACTAGTTAACCAACTAGCTAATGGCATTCACACTGTACACTGACTGACTGTTAAATAAATAATACATTTACATAGCTCAGACAACTAACTCATAAATACATAGCTAACAACAGTTTACAGATGGTGTTTCGCATATTTCTGGTCTGACTTCCTCTGCCACTAATCCCTTGTAAAAATGCTTCCTCCCAAACTATATCTTCCTGTCATAAATAAAGAACAAAAAAAAAAGCAAATGGGAAAAAAAGTGGATGCAAGAAGTTTACCTGTTAATGGTCCATCCTTCCATCCCAGCGGTTTCTTGACAAGTTCTTTCGGCATCTGACGGATCAAAACTGACGACGTCTCAAAGTGGATCCTTTGAAATAATGAAAATACACAATTCAAAATAAAAATCACTCCAAATCAATTAAAAAAAATCAAAGAACAGAATATAATGATGATGGCAGTCCTACTAACCTTTCATGTTCAAATCCCATGAACACAGCCCACTGAAATAAGGAGAGTGTAAAAGAGATACAGTACCCCTCGGAGATAAGTGAACCATCAACTGAAACCTGTTTTAAACTTAAAGTCAACGCATTGGGGCGTTTTCACTAATGCATTTGTAAACTTGATTTTCACCAATGCTTTTTGCCTTTGTTATTCATTTTGTCACCAACAGTTTGTTTCCTTTTTCATGAAAAACAGTACTGTTCCTCACATAAGACTTGTTTCCAAGTTCAGATAGGCAATAACCACGGACATCATTGAAATGCAAAGTTGATCACATCAATAAAGCCCACTTAAAGTAAGTCTTGATGTGTGATCTGCTAATGGGCATTAGTATCACCCAACTAGTGGACTAATGCAAATCCTGCATTTTAATTGGCTACGCTACTAGATGACTATTAGTAATAGTCCTCGAGTNTTTCTTCAACTTGCATTTGCTAACTTTGTTATTGCCTTTTCTGTCCGACTAGTAGGGTGATACTAAAACAATTAGACCCTTCGCCCTCAAGGGCCACGGGTCTGATTGTTAATTATCAGTGCGTTTCTGAGCATTTGCGTTTGACTACCAAGGCAAATGCGAACTGCATTAAAACTGTATTTCTAAGCATAAATGAGTTTACTAGAGTTTAAAACGCGTTCAATGGTTACGTATTTAGTAGTGGTACTGTACATGATCTGTATGGTCAGCTGATTTTTCATCAGTTTTGTCGGTTTCCACATTTTAACTGAGAGCTCTGAACTTTTCAATGATCTTTGTTGCTCCTTTAACAGGACTTCATCATGTCTCTTTATCAAAATTGTACTTTCAAGACTTACATATAGTTACATTACTTACAAAGCATTTCAAAGGATTTTAATTTCAGACAAAAAAGTGTTTGAAAATAAAACTGTCTGCAAATTTTGTCCAAAAGGAGATAAAAAAAAATGTCCAAAAATTTAATGTCCAAAATAAAACGTCCAAAATTTTAATATACAAAAATTTTTTACCGGTAATATAGTCCTACAGTTTATCAATCACATCTATCATACCCATTTGCTTTCCTGAGTAACAGGTAATTCAAGTGGGGTGTTCTCGATGACATCCAGCATGGTCTGTCGGACTTTCTTACGATATTCAGCGACCACAGAAACCTTTGGCCACACAAAGCTTCCACCCATCCTGTAGTTCTCCTGAAAAAATCAGAATGTAACATTCATTTTCCTCAATTAGAAAGGAATTGAAGGCTTTCGTGCAAAAAGGGCACATGTAGCATTTGGGGCCGATTTTTATTTTTTGCAGGATCGAGCTAATTTTTGGCAGACTAACTTGTTTTGACGTGAAAAGCATCATTGCGTTATTGTTTTTGTTGATTTGCACTTCGTTTTTGAGAAATAACCTATGCAAAAAACTCAGTTTTGGTCAATTTTTTTTTTCTGGTCTTTTTCTCTACTTCTTTCAAAAATCAAAACATCTATTTTAAAACAACTGTGCTGACGAAGCTGCTAAAAGTAACTGTTTAAGTTTGCTTCGCGTCAAAATCCACCTTGGAAGGATTTGCTCCAAAAGATGTCACTCGCAAAACTGAGGTTTTCTGCATACATTATTTCTCAAAAACGAAGCGTAAATCAACAAAAACAATTATGCAACCACGCTTTTCATGTCAAAACAAGTCAGTCTGCCAAAAATTAGCTCAATCCTGCAAAAAATAAAAACTGACCCAACATGTAATAGACACCCTTTTTGCATGAAAGCCTTCAATTAATAAGTTACATGTACAACCATTTCAATTTGCCCCTTTGAATCAGATTTATTTTGCTCGGACAGCTATTAAAAAAAGCTCTAACTTAGATTTCCAGTGCTTTGAAAAAGACTCGGTATCTGCTAGAGCTCCAGCAAATATTCCGATGTGAATCACCAGCTCTAATGTAAGTTAAGTAGCAAGTTTAAACAATGGCCTTCTGGAGGGAAGTTGTTATGGGCCTACAGAGCTTGATGTGCTCTCCAACAGGTACTACCTTGGGCAGTCACATGAAGGTTCAGGTTAAGTTCAAATTTTATTGAAAGCACTGATATTGCTTAAAACCTGTAGGCTTTTCTTGACTAACACAAACATATTCATTTCATGTTTTCAATTCTTTAGGACTATTTCAAAATCACAAATCGTTATGGAGAGCTCTTAATGTTACAATTTGCCAAAAGTGAATACTTCATTACAATATCATATGTTGCACAATCAGTGACTAATTTGGTAGTAAATATTGTTATCATTATCATTTTCTTCTCACTGAAAAGGTCCAACTTCCTCAAAGAAGTGTTGCATTAAGTATCTAAATAAAACAATGCCAGGAAGACAATTAACTAATGTTCTTATTTACCGTGTCATCCCAGGACATTTCATCAACACCAGTCTCAAACAGCGTCTCGAAGTAGAAATTAATCCTTTCCTAAAATAAGAAATATTTCAAGTTATTTGTACAAATGGGTACATGCATCGTCAAAATTGATAACATATCCACATCCTTTTGATATCCAAACTGCTCAATCAGGAGGTGAGTGCACTAAACATGAGACCACCACTGACCTCCAAAGTATAGACTGTGTTTCACATTAACTCAGATTCCGGAGAAGCTGATATATCACAACAAATACATTAAATATTATCTGTAAATCAGTTTTATGATGAATAAGAAAATTACTGTAAATCCTCGAATTAGCACCCGCAGCGCTAATTTCAAATTTAGGAGAAGATGGGGGATGCTTATTCGAGGGGGGGTGCTTATTTTTTTCCCAAATCATGACATGATCATCTTTTTAATACATAATCTGCATGTAAACAGCAACATAAGCTGTTTATCGACATAAAAAGCTGATCCTCAAGTTTAAATCGTGGCACTGTTAGTACTTAACAGGTTCAACGTGTTCACTGAATGTGTTCTCAAACGGAAACAATGTACAAATCTAATACTACATGACGAAAACTATACGTCCTTTGTTGGCTCAGTACTCGTCCACAAAATGGTCGAAGGTGATGGGGGATGCTTACTCGAGGGGAGGTGCTAAATATTATTTCAAATTTTGCCTGATAGGGGGGCACTTATTCGAAGGGGGGCTTATTCAAGGGGGGCTCTAATTCAAGGATTTACGGTATCCAAAAATTTACTGAAGTAACCACAAAACAATAGTTCCATTCTTGGATAACGTGTACAATATTTTTCAAGATGGAGCATCGATCACACAGCCACCTTAACTGAGATCAGACAACATGCGGTACCTTCAAGAGTCCTGCAAGGACAAGTTTATTGACATAAACAGCTGCCGTGTGTCCAAAGTAGAATATCAGAGGAAGACGAAGACGATCAGGGCACTTATAAAAAGCTGACTCATCTAAAAACAAATATAAATAACAATTAAATTCCAGCTTTTAAAGACAAATATATCCACTTAATACGGCCACCTTGTTACTACAGACACTTTCTTCTGGCCCGAAGAAAAGCTCAGGCAGTCACTTTCTTTCCCTCTAATATAGCCACCCCATTAATACTACCAGATTTTTGTGGCCCACCAGTGACCGGATTAACAAGGTTCTAAATAGCCTTTGGAGGTGATGAATATATTTTGGGCGCTTTTACTATTTAGTGGGAAACATTTTGGGGGGTTATTATGTGCTTAGGGGATTAGTATAGATTTTAGGATTTTGGAATAGTTGAGGGTTTTTCAGAGGTTATATTTAACTTAAATCTATGGATACCATCAAAAGTTCAAATGAGGCCTGAAACTACTTTGATATTAAATTCTTTTAAAATCCAAGCTTTCGCTGATCCAAGGCATCATCAGGGATAAGAAAAATATTTCATATAAGGCCTAAATACAAATGTAAAGCAAAAAGGTGTGAAAAGCAAAAGGATGCAGAGAGTAAAATGTCGGTAAGATAAATAATAAGGTACAAATATGCATTAAACTCTGCATCATTCACACCAAGGAGATGTGATATGTCATTCTCATCACCTGCTCTTCAATCTAATTTACATGAAATATTTCAAATTGTACACTACTAAAAATAGATGTCTCCCATTTGTGCAAATAACATTTTCATTTCACAATTGTCTCTTTTTGAAGTCTGTCATATCGTTGGAAGAGAAATCTGATATTACCGACATTCATCAAATTGAATGCTTCATTGACACCAACACTAGTTTTCAATGGCCCATTTAGCTTGATCTAATGGCGTCTAATGTCTGAAAGTTACCATATTTTTTTTTAAAAGAAGGGTGTGTCTGCTGCCAACTGCAAAAATATCCATCAGGAAACGAAATATTATGATTTTAGATTAAAAACTGGGAGTATGATATCGTGCATTTTAAGAATGTTGGATACAAGATCAGAAGCATTCAATCAAAAGAGGGCATTCTTTTTTGGCAAAAAGTGGAAAGTGCCTGTGTTCAGATCAGATGAATTTGTAGAATTCCAGATCTATTCAAATTTTCGCCGTGTTTGCTCACAACAAAGGACGGCTTTCTGGATCAATATGCGGCAGACTGGGTGTTGTATGTTAATATTTTATAAACATATTTCACAAGCGTGAATGGCAATATTGCACATCTGTCAATATAATTAAGCTCAAAAAACCCCCATCAAGGTCCAAAATTTGGGTACAGTATGTATCTTGCTCTGATCGAAGTGTACAGCGTTATCATAACAGAGGCATTTTGAAAATTGAGTTTGTAGCTGGGACTCTAACTCGCTTTGACCAACAAAGCGGTTGAACTCGCGAATGTACAGACCTCTAATACCCAGTATTTGCATTTTACACAAATTATCTTCGCGCTCAGGAGACGAAATGAAAGGGGAACTCGACTTCAAGCAGATTTACTTCACTTTCCAACCTCATATCAGTAAACAATTACTAAATGTTTTCTATACATGGGTAAAAGCGTAAGTTAACAATATACAGAGGACTCGAGAAGAACGGAGAATAGGAAGGAAGTCGTGTCTCTATGTAAATTTATCTCCACGTGAATGTCAATCGAAGAAAGCCTCGTCATACTTCAAACACCCGCTACAGCATAAAACACGATTACTCATCCAAAAGGCAACATCGATTCCTGGATTTACGACAGAGTCAAAATTCAAAACAATTTTCCACAAAAAAAAAAAAACACGAAAAGGATAATTGAAGCCCGTCGCCGCGCTGAAACAGCAAGGGCCGACGAAAATCTATTTGCTTACCGTTCAGAGTCGTAAATAGGGTCTCGTAGAGATCAAAGGAGTTTTCAAAATATTCCTTGATTTCTCTGGAAGGAAAACAAGATAAAAATTAATTTTCAGCTTAAACTCGCGCTGTATCACGAAGCAAAACGAAAAGCACATGATGCGCGCTTATGTAACCCTACCACCCCGTGGCAAAAATCAATTTAAGATGTGAACTAGTTTACCTCTTTGTACATGACGAGAGATCACAAGGTTTCATTGAATGAAGAACGTGTTTGCCACTTGGCTGAAACACTGCCATCTTGGAAGAAGTCGTTAACCGCCTGTAAGTCCGAACCTCCAGCAAGGTGCCTTTAGAAAGCGTGCGAGCTTGATTGAAATTTTCCGCTCTACAACTTGTCCCTGTTGAGCATGCGTTCAAAGTAACGAGTTAGCCAATCAGAAGCGCGAACATTGAGGGAGGGTGCGGGGAGTGTGGAGGGATGCTGAAGGGATGGTTTTCCATTCTGCGAGCTTCGCCCTCCCTGTTTTTCCGAAAAAAGTGGATGTTCTTGCAGGCTAGTTTCCCTGCAGTCTTTAGAGCAAAACAGTCGGGCGATAATGGTGCTAATACATGCATAATACCGAGTCCCTTCTCGCGCTCCGCTAAACTGCTGGAGCCGCCGGTATTATATTTACTCAAGGGAAGGTTTGGATGAGAAGCGACTGGTGAGGAGTAATTAGTGCCATGCCTATGTCTCGTCCCAATCTCTTTAGGAATATTTCGAGAAAGTCTCAGAAACGCACTCATAACATTGTTAGACCGTGTTTGAAGTTACAACAGATAAGCGAATGCAACAAATCGGAACAGGGTAGCTAACTTGCAACATGCTTGGTTGAAATGTTACGTTCGTTTGGCCGTGTCCAAAAGAAAATTGCCTGCGTCACTGTCTCTTTGTAATTTAAATTATATGTTATTGTTATGTATCAGGCGATGTCTAATGTTTATGCTCACTAACCAATAGGAGATTGATTACTCAGTCAGGAAGCAAATTCTTTTGATATTATATTCAAGCACATGTTCCATACGGTGGGACTGATACAGAATCAATGTTTTGACCCAAGTTCTGAGATTACGAAACAGTGAAGGGAGTATTTTTGCACTCAGAAGTTTTTAAAAGAACAGGATTAAATTTTGACTGATACAATTGTTAAAGAACAAAAAAAAGAAAAGGGTTGAACGATTTTTCGGTCATGGAACGAAAGAACAAAATAGAAATATTGATCGGCTTCCCTTGTGTTTTATCATTGTTAGTTTTGTACAAAATTCTCACGGCCCACGCGCGCTATCTCCGTCACTCCAAGAAGTCCAGTATTGTGCAACACAAATGACCCCCAGACACAGAGCTGGTTGCAACATCATCTTCAAGATTATATATGCTATTTTTGACGTTTTTCCGCAAGAAAATTAATCCATCGAGCGGTTAGTACCCCTGCGTGCATCACGAAACTATCGATACATGAATCGGTTGATCTTTAGCATACAACCATTAATTACATTGAAATGAAATGAATCTGTACTATTTAATTGGGAACGCTTCAACTGATCGATGACGATTTCCAATCGGACAAACGGGAGATATTATACTAGGAGAAAACGTTATGAAAATAATTTGAATCCGTTGAGAGATTGTTTTTCGTCGCTCGCCCAGCTACCTTGTATCATAGGAATGGACAAACAAAAAAGCAACAAGAAATAGTCAAACATTAAATCAACATAAGTAATGTATAGCTCTTACGCAATGTGTTCTCTAACTACTATAACCGCGGTGTTGTAAGCGAAAAGGTCGCCGGATGACTCGTTTATTTATTTATTTCTTTTTTATGAAAAGGGAAAGTTAAAAGAAGACAAAAATGTGAGCAGTGCAAAGAGTTCATTGCATCTGCCGATCGGGTTTAGGCCCCTACTTTCGGCAACGTTTTACCCTAAGTGTTAAACTTCTCTCCCCACATTGCAAATTAAATTATAACATAAGTGTGCTGTTCCGCGAAGCTCAGACATCTCCAGACATCTCTATGTGGTGTGTTCGGGAGCGAAAGTTGGAGTGGTTAGCAGGCACTTGAGTGGAGTCTAAAACACACGTGAGCTAGTAAAAAGCCCATGAAAGGCGCCGGGTGTTTTTTTCTCCGATAAAAATAGCGCCGATTACCTACCTGCTGATGAAAATCACCCGCTTGAGCAATATGTAACGTATCTATCGGCTCACTCGTTTGTAGTGAGAATCTTCAACCGAGAGCTGCTCCAGGCTAAGGCTGACTGATTAATGAATTAGCGAGGCGGTCAATCTTACTCAAATCGACAAGCAACTAATTGGTTACGGAATTCAACCGTGAGATCTTGTCTACGTGGGCGTAAGAGCTTGCAAGCATAAGTATTTTATTAGTAATTAGCGGCTGAAAACTCTTGGAATAAAACGTGCTTTTAAAAGCGCAGTGACCTCAAGTTCTGGGCAGAATGAGCGCAAAAAACCAAGGTCAAGTCCATATCAACGTACGTGAGTTTAATTTCCGAGTTCCTCTGTTTCGTCAATTTTTCCTCTGTAAATAATATCTGCACGTATTTAAACCCAGATGCGCGCTATGATTGGCTTAAATGCTATTGTGTTTTAACGTGGTTATTAGGTGGCTTGCCCCACGAGCCTGTATGCAATATCGCCCAAATCCTGCGTTGTGATTGGCTACCTGATGAAGCTATTTTGCTCTAACGTGCAATCAGACCTTTTTCCCCCGTTTGTCGAAAATAGAAGGGCTGTGTGTAGGTAAATTTTAGCCGTCGAGAAAATGATGCTCTAAGCCGTATAATCCTTTACTGACAAACCATGTCAGGTAGCAATGGCCGGATTCAATAAGGCTCGTCTGTTTTTCTTTTTTTGCGGGGGAGGGGGGGGGGGAGCGGAGGCGGGGGGAAGGGTGCTCGATTACGTCTCGATCATAAGCATGCAAAAAAGAAATGCCAAGGTTATACCAAAACCCTGCTATCTTGATTTCAGGAAAACAGGTCTTTTTACTTTATTGTTATTCTAACTAATGCGTTAGTTTCTTTTCTCTATTTCGAAATGTTTTCTTATACAGAATTATACTGTCAAAAACCTCTTTGTTTTTTTTAGAACACTTCAAAAGTGTCGGAAACGCTCACCTGGGTTTACAGTTTTCTTGTTAAAGAAGACTTTACACAAACATACCACTAGAGGAGGGAATACTCACTGTGTGCAGGGCATACGAAATATTCTACGATGTCTAACGAACCTCTTATCCCTAAACGTTTACTCGAAAAAGAGCTAAGGTTAGTCCTTCAGGACAGCCGTGGGTACAAAAATATGAGTCGCCTTTGTCAATATCTTCATGGCTAAAGTCGAAACAGAAATCTAAAACCAAAGCGCAAGGAAACCACTCGTTTGACGACATGCTCTCCCTCTGGACTAAAAACAGAGAAGAGATACTACAGTTCATCGAACAAGCAAACAATTACCACACAACGATCAAACAGAGTACGGCTGAGATTATTTGACACAGGAACGACATTTCTGGACACCAAGATTTGTAATTTATTTTAGAACAACAACTTTATTTTTATCAAAAATATATTAATTAATATCTACATGCAAATAGGGTGTCAGCAGGGAAGCACTTAATCCTCATATAAAGCTGACCCCCTTAAAAGGGCGAAAGATTCAGATCGAAACAATGAAGTTCTTGATGTGCGTGCCCACTTCGAGCCTATACTGATACATTCCAATACACGCACTTTCTCTTCGTGTCACCCATGAGGAGTTAAAAAAAAGCTTAATCAAAGGAGAAGCAGTCTAAGACATCACAGAACAAACTCTTCTAAAAACGTTTTAGAAGAGAAAATTCAAGACTCCAGATCAAGCCTTCGTTTTGGAAGCCATCCGGGGAATCTTACTGAAATGACCCTCTTAGAAGTATATCGGTATACAGTTTGAAAACACTCTTACATAAACCAAACTTGATTACCATTCCTCGGATGATGAAATTTGAAAACGATTAAACTCCTTCCGGGCAGAAGGGTAAGGTAGTTTATCGCGACAGTTTTGACATCAGTCTATACCGCGGTTTGACCTGTAGTGAGCAGAGCTTTCCGAGACATTTTAATTGATGAGCCGTATAAGATTATGCTTAATATTTTGAATTTCAAATGTCGTTATCCAAGGAAAGATTTTTAACTGCAAACATTTTTTTTGTTATCCTGAAGAAGAAAAATTTCATCTAGAATTGAAAAAAGTTTCAATATTGGAGCGATAACATACCGATCAAGCACAATAATTCTTTTGTTGCCTGTAATTATGCGACAGCCAGTTAGGATCCTTTTTTGTAACAAAATTCTGTGAGCAGGACACAGCAGAGATTGTTATTGTCTGATAATCTTTATACCTTTTACCAAGTGGAAACCTTTTTCCTTATAATTCTCACTACGATACACAGTAAAACACAAGCTGTGTACGTCGGAAAGAGATTGCTATGTCCTATGCTCGCCTAGATGATGCAGGGTTGATTTGTGAATACACCATTTCGCTATGAAACATTAAAGAAGTCTCCGACCGCATTGACCTTGGTTTCGTTTTGTTTTTTCCTTGCTCTTTCGCTTTCTGTAATTTCAGGGGAAGTCGTTTGGACCGTTTGTATTTTCGTCCTTATTTCATTTCTCTGCCACTGTTTTTGCGCCGTAATTTTCTATATTAATTTCTATTGCTGAGTTTTGTAAAGGCACTCGTTGCATTTATGCCAAAATAAAATTCAAGACTAGGATTGCTGCCAAACACTTACACATTAATTTTACTTTCGAAACCAAAATTCCGAATCGGACCTTTGTTGTTTTCAATCTCGTCCCATGGCGACAATGTTAGGGGTGCCGTGGTGAATGGTATGCGAGACTTGCGAGCGCGAGATATTTTGAAGACCCAGAATTCAAAGGGTTTGAAATGGGAGCTCGAGAAGTCCAGGTTGTATAAAGACGTTTAGGCATCATTTATATGGCTATATATACATACATACATACATACATACATACATACATACATACATACATACATACATACATACATACATACATACNAGATTTGCTGTTACTCCGAGTTTCGTGCTTACGCACTCATGAGTGCGTAAGCACGAAACTCGGAGTAACAGCAAATCTTGCCTCTTCGTTATTACTCATATATATATATATATGAATAAACGAAACAAAACAAACAAATAATCGGTACTTCGAGACTTTCTTAGTCTTGCAAAAACTCGAGACTGCGAGAGTGCTTTTAAATTTTGTGAAAAAAATCGAGACTGCGAGACACTCATAAACGTAAAAAACCAGACTGCGAGACCCATATTTTGTGAGACTCATTTTGAAGGACCATTCGCCACCCATAATAATGACAGATACAGAATCTTTTAGCGAACCGGTGGGTAATTTCTGAGGACCTCCTAGGGGTTTGGGGAAACAAGGGAACATGGTCATTTATTTTAAGGGAACAAGGGAACAAGGGATATTTCTCTTGTTTCGCGGGGATTAATTTGAGGGAACAAGGAACATCTCTGCTGTTAAAGGGAACTTTGACAAACATTTCTCAGGAACTATGGAATTTATTTATGGGGAATAGGGGAGGAATTTTCAGGAGAAGTTTTCAAAGGATCAAGGGGACACGCTATCCCCTTGGGAGGCCCTTAACTCTCGAAAAGCTAGGAAACGACCGTGTTGTTCGTAAATTTTGCAGATCTCATTTTTCGTTAATTCATTGAAATTGTTTTTAGTTATGTAATACGTTTTACGTTGGCCATGCAGATGTACAGTGAAGTACTCTTCAGTGAATTTGAATTCGTTTACAGTCTCCTTTATGATACAAAAGAATGCGATCTCAATATCTTAGTTCAATCCTAGGCTTAGTCGAGTACCTGTTCATTTAATTATATATAGTCGGTTGGTGAACAAATTTGAAGACCATGATCTACAAATAACAGGCAAATAAATAACTAAGAACACTGAGTACCGGCCTAAGAAAGCACGTGTTAGCAGTATGGTCGCATGCCGCAATTTGTCCTCGACTTCACTTCACATAGCTAAACGAGAAAGTTGATTTCGCTAGTAACATTTATCAAACTTTAAAATTGAACCGTTGTAAAAACTAATTCAGGGGTCAAATTTTTTCGCTGACACTCTTTCTATCGATTTATTCATTATACAGACGTTCAATTTTTAACTTGATATTCAAAAATTGTTAAACTTCTACCTACCTTGTACGTCCTTGAGGTTTAAACTAAGTTCAATTTAAAAAATCGAGCTGTTGATCCGTCGTTGACCCGGCTTGTTGAATATGACAATCAATTTCAGCGTGTTTCAGTTTTCAAAGAACACAACAGCCGGAATACCTCCCCCAATTAAATGCTGGAAAGCTGATTTTATCTGACGTATACAGTTTGTGTTATGTAATTGCAGTCTTCCGGCCGTAATCACGCCACTCTGCATGTGGAATTTCACTCAAATGAATGGGATATTGACCTTGGACTAGCAATTATGGTTTATATTCGGAAACGTTCTAAGCATAATCCACGAAATTGTTGGTAAAAACAATTAAAAAAACCACGAACGCCCGATCTCTTCGCTAGCTCAACCTTTATTCGTATTGCAAGTCATCTGCGCAAGTTATATAAGGATGAAAGAGGAATAAATATAAAATAATTATGCAATGATCCCTCGTGGTAGTTCCTTGATTTTGTCTCACATGTGAGTTCATTCCTCCGTAGTCCAGTCTCCTAAACTCTCCTTTCCACGCTCCCCTATATAGAGCGCGCGAGGAAGTGGGATTTAGGCGACTGGACTCGACTCCTCTTGCATACACACTTATCTAAAAGCTTCTAAAGCATGCGAAAAGTTAGAGAAAAGAACTTTTGCTGTAATTGTTATAATTAAAGCATAACGGTTTACGATCTCACGCGATCGCAACCGATTCAAAGACAACATGAGAGGGCAGTGGCATCAAACGGCTTGAACATTGATTTTATTGTACGTAAGGTGAAAAAATGCTTTCTCGTTTGCTCTCGCTCCACGTTCACTGCATTAACAATCTTAGAAAAAAATCAACATGGATTATATTAATTATATAACTGGGAAGAGGCCAAAAGTTTATCTGCGGCGAGAAAAATTTCTTGCATAAATAATCATGAGCTTTAGACCACGCCAACAGATCAAAAGCAAATTTTAACAAGCGCACAATTTTTCCTTTTGAACCTTCTTATAAAATTAGTTGCAATTTTGCGAAGGACGTTTCCAGATATCTTTCCTCGGAAACATCATGGTGATGTTTGGGTCTTCATTTCATTCACGGGTACAAGTTACGAACAGTTTCAGTCAGTATAATATCAAAGACAATGGCTGTTTTGTCAAGTCTAAAGGCAGAGTGAAGCTAGCAACCTAACAGCTTTTCTCGATATAACAGTAACCTAATGCATCAAATTAAACGCATTATTCTACCTACATTATGTTTAAAAGTTTCAGATTTTAATTATTACCTTGGTCTTAAACTTGGAGGTTCACATCTAAATTACGACACGATGACTGTTGCCTCATGCTGTGTTCAAGCACAATTTCGCGTGAACTATATATGACAAAGCAATTTTACCATTATATGTCGTAGTTATGCACCGCTGGCCCCAATCTTATAAAACAAATTGCAACATGGTGATTGACATAATAATTCATCCATGCAATTCTTAGATTATTAAACAAAATAAAAGAGATCTGAAATAGAGATTCTTTGTCAGATTAAGATGGATAAATCGTCCGTAAAGGAAATGCTCTCTCGAAGGGCAGGGCAAACCGCTAACCATGATTAGATAACTCGAGGGTCAAATATTGCTTTGTCACCGAATGCAGACATAACCTTGGCGAGTCAATGGAGCTTAAACGTACGTGTCAAGAATTGATTGATTAATCATAATTGTATGCATTTTATAGAGCTTATTGAATATCCATAGAGCTCTTGATTACACATGCATGCTTTACGGCCTAAAAATAGCGCTCGGACCAACCCGATATACTTTCAATAACTTACCATACGCATGAAGTACTAAAGTCTGCATAACTGTTATAGTTATGGGTGCAATATTATACCTTACTTACTGAAGTCAGATTCTGAGAATTTTTTTGTTAAGAAGGACCACGTCACTTTATTACTGGGAGATTGCGCACGTTTTCTAAGCAGTATAGTTAATTCAAGGTTGACCTTTGCTATTGGCAAAAGCTTAATTTTATTATAGTCTCCAACTTTCATTTAG